AAATCTGAGTGGGGTGGAAAACAGACTGTTGCAGTTACAACTGCAGTTGGCAAGTGGATAATATCCCCTGTGCAATGAAAAAGCTGTGCCAGAGTCCTTGCTCGCATTCTCTATCCTGTCCATTAACCTCTGCCATCAGTGGTGTAAAGTTGATGTGCTGCTTCCTGATGATTGAAGGATCACAGTTGGAAATTCAGTAAATGCAGACTTCTTCACAAGCAAACCATTTTCCCCATGTCCAATGGGAGCAATTTCACAGTATTTCTTTAGGGAGACAACTGACAAATGCAATACATTAACTATTGACATTTGTGTATTGAATATTAGTGTAACAAACAAAATTACACAAGAGCAGTTGGTGGATATTTTGTTCCATGTTGAAAACAGTGTGTTAACACTGACACTGCAAAACCCGAGTCTTGAGGTTTGGATGTGTATATGTTGAAAACCAAGCTCTTATAGTAGTTACCAAGTAAATTAGGAAGTTCTCATTAACAATGGCAGCAGAATTATTACCAACTTCAACAGAAGTTGTATGTATGTGACAAGTGTCAGAAGCCATCCTTTAATAGTTATAAATTGTTCTCAATTTTAGCTTTGATTACCAGATTTGAATTTTAAAAATAATAACTCTCAAAGTCACAGATTATCATTACAGTTCTGGGTGTCTACAGTTCAGTTAAGAAACTGAAGTGCAAACAGTAAATCTTTGCGCAGGACTGGGTAAGTCCTTAATACAGAAAATATTCACTACTAAAATGTGGTCATTCTAGAAGTGGTATGTAAATGGCCTTTGGCACCATGTTTGTACAATAAGTACAGAGGAAAAATATTAGCAGCTAGGAACTGCAAAAGCAATGGTGGGTAGAGATAGTGCAACTTCTAGAATTCAAATTTGGCGAGAATAAAACTGGTAACTGTTATTTTTATTGGAAGACTCTCCTTTGATTTTTAGCGATAGCTGGATTTGGGACTTGTCCCTTTGTTGGCAACAGAGTGTCCTGCTAGGACAACAATTTTGTATTACCTATGAGATATCAGTGAGGGACCTCAAAAAGGTGATAGAGACAAAATGGAAATGACAGAACTTAACCCATAACCGATGTGTTTATAAATAGTTTATTTGTGAAATAAAGCCTCAAAACTTCAGATTACCCTGGACCAAGACTTCAGATCTACCCCCAGCAAATTCTAAACTGAAAGGAAATATGTGGGTCGCGACTCCGTCTAATATCAGTGTTGAAAATGACAGCTTTCATTGCTGAGTGATTTTCCAGATCAGTGTGATGTTCTGACTGGCTACATTTCTAAGTTTTATGTAAAAGTTAAAAACCCCAAGAGGTCAATGAAAAGAAATCAGCCATACTCAGCTTGAAGAACTATAAATCCTGTGATTTTCGGACTGTCATATTCTCCTGGTTCAGCTAGGATAGGGTTAAGTTTCCCCAGCAGAGAGACAAGGGAAAGGGATCTCCAGCTGGGTTATTCATACCATGCTGAGGTCAGGTCCGGCGCGGGAGTGCAAGAAGCTTTCCTTTGTGGCTTTGGTCGCAGGAAGCATGCGCGGTGGGCTGACTGTGTTCACTGCGGTATTTCTCTGTATATCTTTTGTCTTGGTTACTGTTATTACTATTTATTGTTGCTATTATTGCTATTGTTGTTGTTCAGATTGTTTATTACACTGTTGTATTAAATTTACCCGTATTTCAACCCTGGGGTTTGTGCCCTACTCGGTCCAGGGATGGGGAAGGGACAATGGCAATGTGGTCTCCGGTCCCGGCAGGGCCTAAATCATAACACATATTGGATGAGAGGGATTTGCAGTGGCACCTAAAAAATATAATGATGTCCGTGTATCTCACTGCAAGCAGTCTGGCTAAATATGTGTCTTGTTCATCCTATTTATAAATTGAACATGAAGTATAGCTGTGAACCTGCTGAGAAAATTTGGATTCAGGTTTTATTAGTTCCTCAAACTGTAACCCAGCTGGGAAAAGATTTATGTTAAGTGTCAATGTGATTTTCAAACAGGAAAAAAGTTGATGAAAAAATAAGATGCAAAGATAGCTCACCACCCCTCAAAACCCCAAAGCCCAATCCCCCCACCAAACCCAGATATTTCCTGTCTCCTTTTTGCACAACCACAAACTATTCAATGGATATAACAAGCGTGCATGTGTGTGTGCATTTTCATGTGTAAATTGTGACTTGCTAAGTATGCAAGAGTCTATTCTTAATTTATGGCAGATGAAAAGGTCTTATCCCATACTGAGAAACTGGTTTACTTTCTCACACATAATGGGTAGGGTCTGGATGTTGCTGGTCCTCAGAAATGTGTTGATCCAGTCTAAGCATATATGCAGCATTAGTGCTGTACATAGGAAAATGTATGTTGTAGACCAGCTGGGCAGATAGATAGCACTAGTGTCGTGCTGCAGAGGTTTTGAAAGAGAAGTAGTTAGTGTCTTTAAATAGAGGCTACAATTAACTCAAAGTCCAGTGGAGGAACTTAAAGAGACATCAGTGGGCTTTCAGTCAGGCTCGAATGATGCAAAGAATAGCCCGAGTTGTGTAATGTATAAAGTTAGCAGAAACACGGGAAACTACACAATATTAGCTGTCACAAATCACAACAGAAACATGGTGTGGGCAGGAGCTGCAGGGCTGCTGCTTCCCATGCATGCTGGCACGGTGCAGCACAGCGAAGAACAGCAATGCCTTCTCTGCTGCAGCTGAATCCAGTCCTGGCAAAGTTTGCTACTGGCTGCCCTCAGAGCATGGGTATGCTTCATGGAGGCTGAAGTTTTTTTAAGGGACAATTACAACAAAACTCTTCCTGCTAATGCAAACAAAACTGAAATGTCAATTTGGGTTTTCAGTGGGTTTTCAAAGATTTATCACTTCTGCTATGAGGAAGCATCTGCATAAACTAGCTATTTGTTGCAGATTCCAATGCCTAGAAACCCCCCTGAAGCTTTTAATCTTATACAAATGCTCAAATATTAAGCAATAGGACCTTACATGTAAATAGCAAATTCTATATAGTAACTTGAAAATATGTGGCATAAAAATTCATGATATTATGTTGGCAATCCCTGGAAGTCTTCCATCGCACAGTGAGGCAAAGAGACAGAGTGTGGGTTGTCAGGAGGGACCCTTGACTTGGAAGTGAAGGATTTTTGCAGATGCAGTTTCACACACTGCAGCTTGCAGAGGACGAGGCCTGTCAAGGCAGTTTGACTCACAGTAGCAAGTCTGCACTGCCAGAGGGAGATGCATCTGGAAGGCCTGTGTGCTCTGGTGCACTGTGCTGGTGATGGGTAGTATTCCTGGGAAACCACTGGGACTCGGCAGGAAAATGCTCTCCTTTCCTACAGAGCTAGCAGAAAGCTTTGGGCTTGCACCTTTCACTCTGGAGACAGCACACGGATCACATTTAAAAGTGCCCTTTACTCTTCCCACTCAGTAACTCACCATTTTCTGAAAAATAAAAGGAAAGTTAAATAATCCAAGGGAGATTGCATTGCTCAGCCTGGCAATCTACCCTCTTAAGGCTGATTTCATGCAGATGACTTCTTGTTTAGTCTCAGAGTACCTTTGTCTTTCTTTCTGCACATCTTAGCATTTATTTAAAAAAATAAATTGTAAAAATGCCATTTAAAAAATACCACTTGCTTGGGGGTGAGGACAGAGAGTTGTCTTATCTCACTTGCTTAGTCTTAATTTTGAAAAGTTATTTAATTTCAAGTGACACTCATGCTACACAATCTTAGACAGTAAGTCTGGAGTCTGGAAGTCCACTTATAGCTGAAATTTTAAAAGTTGAGCATATAGAATATATTTACTCCTGATACAAGGCACTTTATGAAAAGGGACTTTTGAACTGTAGAGTGTGCTGAATGTTCAGTAGCAAAAAATTGAGTATTTAATATTTGTGAAATTATTGTCTATGGAAAGTTGCTCAATGGAGAGGCTCTCTTCCGAGCTTTGTTAGAAACAAGGTGGTACTAAGGTCCTCAAAGAAAGGGCCTACTCCTCCCACTGACACTCTAGAACAACTCTTGTGTCTAGTTGGAAAGTGAGTGTATTTCTTTGGATTTGACATATTGCCAGTTCATCAGTGTATAGCAATAGGGTTCCATTGTCATGGACTCGTTTTTTAAGATTCGCCCTTGATTTTTCCTTGTAAGGTGATCTCAGCTTCAGGGATGGCAACAGTCCTTTTTCCATTCACCTAACTCCAGTCCACAGTGCCAACAAAAATCTCCTTTGCTCTTGCAGCAGATGATGGCAGAAGACTGCCAGGGAGGCCCCTGGGGAAGGACTCTCCGTTGTTTGATTGACATTTCCCACCCCACAATGAATTGTCATTGCAAGAGTAAAAAGGATATTTGGAGGCTGTGGAGTGCACATGATAAATGTGTCCTCTGGGACACGTTAAATCTGGGTACACCTGCAGACTTCCTTGGGAAATCAGCTCTGGTGGGGGAGGCCACAAAGGTTGAGGAAGGTTGTGGTAAGCGGCATGGGCAAGTGGTTATTTTGTCCCGAAAGTCCATGCCTATGATGGTATCGACACAGTTGGTATTTACATGTGGCAAGCAGAGCACAGGTGTGAATCACATACTTACTGTGCTCTGCAAGCAATTCAGAGCTTGATCGTGCCATATTTGGACCAAGCACAATGATCCCCAAACCCATACCTCCAGTCCCCGTTGTCCCAGTGTGCGCTGATGTCCGTTGATCAAGCTGGCAGCCCCTCGCTCAACAGAGCACTTGGGGATGTGCCAAGGGAAGGGCTCCACCAAACTCTGGCCTTTGCCTCAGGCCACAGCCCATGGAAATCAGGAGATATGCCTACTGGCTTGGATCAGCTCCAGGTCAGGTCCCAAATCCTTAAGGATGGTCCTTGCTCTGATTATTGCATGCTATAAACACTGGTGGCACTAAGGGTGTATTCAGAAATAACCTTTTTTTTAAAAAACCCACTAGGTTTTTATTTGGTATGAAAGCACAGAATAAAACATTTATTGCATTCAATAATCCCAGAATCACTTCCATTTGGATATATAGCATCAAAAATATACCCCTTTACTATAAAAAAGATTCCCATTTGCTATCAGTCACCTGCCATTCATTAAAGAGATCTGTCTTCCCTTAAAAAGTGAGTTTAGGCCTATGTACGTTTTACCACACGCATACACCAGTGTATGTACAAGTTTTGATGATTAAACCATTTAATAGCTTCCCTATCCTTAAATTCTTCTCCATTTCCTGTTCTAGGCACAGATCACTGCTTTTGCTTCTACATTCCCTCTTCTTCTCTCTTGATTTGATCCCATGTTCAGCGTTGACATATTGTGCTCCTTTTTTTCTAAGATCTTTACTGTTTTAGAATATTTAATGCTTAACAAAAGGCATGTCAGTAATTCAGTGCAGCCATTAAGTCTCTTCATATGGGTAATGGCAGTTCCTCAGCAGTGGCTAGCTCTGCAGAAGGCATAGTTACACACATATCTTCTTCACAGAGGCTTTTAGACGAAGACAGAGCCATCCTGGTCGCTGGTGTTCAGGGTTATGTTGCTGTTCACGACACTTTCTGCATAGCTGGCTGAATAGGTGACCTGGTAGCGACTGCAGGGTCCACAGAAACACAGGCATGGACAGTACTTCAGGCAGACATGATAAAGGTATTTCCTGAATTTTTCCCCAGCAAAGGCATAGATAAAAGGATTGAGACAACAGTGGCTGAATGCAATGGTTTCGGCCAGGTGCATTGCATAGTCCAATGATTTAATTTGGTTGCAACTTGTGAATAACTCATAGTGCTTTAAAGTCTCTAGAAAAATCAGTACATTGTAGGGGGACCAAAACAGAAAAAACACAACCACCACAATCAAGATCAGTTTTACGGCTCGTGTTTTTTTCTGATTTTTGCAGGACACCAGGGTTCTGATGATCCCACAGTAGCAATAGCATATGATACAGACTGGGATGAAGAAGCCGATGGTGTTCAGCTCCGCATTGCAGAACACTGGCCAGATGTTCTCCAGCTCCTGGGGAAAGGCAGAAATGCAGTCGTTTCCTACCAGCTGGGAGAACACAAAATGTGGCACTGAAACCAAAACTGCTATTGCCCATACGCCACAGGTTATAAGGAAGCCATGTTTCACTGTTCTGGATTTCAGAGAATATGTGGCCCGGACAATGGCCAAGTATCTGTCGATACTGATAACAGTGATAAAGAACATACCCCCAAAGAAACCAATGTAATACAGTGAGGAAACAGCTGTGCACGGAATAGTCCCGAGGGTCCATCCACGCACTGTGTTGGAAGCCCAGAAGGGGAGGGAGATCACAAAGAGAAGGTCTGAGATAGCCAAATTCAGGAGATAGACATTAGTGATGCTTTTTTTACTGCCTTCTTTTACAATGGCAAAAATCACCATTAGATTCCCTGTGAGGCCAAGAGCAAAGACTGCAATGTAAAATATTGGCAGAAATATTTTCCCAAATTCTTGGATGTCAGTCTTATTGCAGGAAAAAGCACGTTCATCATAAGCGTATTCAGCTGTTGTTTCTGTGGATGCTTCTGTCATGGCTAGAGGCAACATGAAAAGGGAAAAGAGATAATGTTAGACAGAGAGATATCGAGTGTCTGCTATGGTAAAATACTGAGAGGCCTCACCAACACGCCTGCTTTGGGATTTTGTTACTATCTGTATTAGCGCAGGTTGCATTGCTGTGGAGGTGATAGTAGTTACTAACAGAAGCCCAGACTCTGCTGGTACATGTACTTCACTAAAATTAGGCTAGGAAATTTAGGATCAGAAAAAATAAATGGGAATTTCAAGGTCTGTTGAATAAGTCTCTGCTTATCGGAAGAGCAGCAGAAGCAGCAGCAAACTGACATCTAACTGAGCTCTGCAGGTGGTGCATCGCAGTGTGAGAAATGCAGGGGCTCTCCCAGTCTGCTGGGCAGTGCTCAGCAGGAAGCGGTACCTCCCATGTAGCTGTTGATCAGCATGTGGGGCCTGTCAACACCACCAAGAGCTCAGTCTCACCCCACACAATAACCCCAGGATAGAAGTGTGGTAAGACACCCAGTTTGGCCAGGTCTGAGCTGATGCTGATGTGGCAGGAGCAAAGTTTGCACTGGGACATCCCTTGGGAGCAAGCATATCTTTGAGGAGATTTTTTTTTAAATTTATGCTATGATCAAAAGAAGAGAAATTGTACTGATCCTTTTCCTCAAGCACCAAAGCACCTCGTGACCTCTTTCTGTCTTGGCTGCGAAAGAGTCAGGTTGGAGCCAGGTCTTGTTAGGTTGGAGGCTGCACCCAAAGAGTATGGGGTGCACGTGTGTGACCTCTGGGCTCACTGGTCTGGACATCAAATAACTCAGGGCACGCGTCAGTTCCTCTGCACTCCCTTGGGATGTGGCGTTCCAAGTGTCTTCAAGGATTTCTGTTTGCAGGGAACCAAAAATCCTAGAGGGGTGCTGATGTGACTGCATTCAGTCTGCTTCCTGGCTGGGGTAAACAACTTGTAAATACCCATTACTTGCTCTCGCTATAGGAAATAAAGGAAATTGAGTGTGATACGCTGTGCAGAAGAAGCCCAGGGAGATGACAACATGGCCAAACCAGACTGCAAAAGCTGAGACTGAAAGGAAAAGTCAGCAATAACAAAACTGCAGCTAGTAACTACCGCTTGGTCACAGTGTCACAATGTTCCTACAGGAACCCCCGTTAACTGTAAAGAAGGGACTAGTTCAGTGGCTGTTAACTGTCTCTAATACAGATGTTTACATTGCCTGTTAGTGGGAGATGTAGTCAATACGTCCAGTGAAGAGCAGTGCCTCTGATCCAATGCAGGTCAGGCCAAATCTACTTTAAGACAAGACAGACTGCTTTCCAGACACTGCTGACCAAGTTGATGAAACTCCTTTTGACTATGAGGAAAGCATGGGCACAATACTCAGTGGTAGACACTGACCGTGCATAACTACTCCCACTTATGAAACTCGAAGTGTTTGGAATCCCAGCCTACATGTCCACATTTCACTGATAGCAATAGTTTTTATAGCCTCTGTTAAAATCAGCCTTGCATGAAATAAAGATGTCCTGAGGTGTGAGACACTCCTTGCCCAAGACATTTCATATAGCATAGCGGTGGCTACAACGAACTCCCCCAGGGCTGGCTGCTGTGACTATATTGACATTTTCTCCTAATGCCTCATTGCTAGATTGCCGCTTGTGGTGGGGACCATGAATTTCTGGCCTCTTATTTTATAGTAATTTCTGAAAGAGGTGTTTTTTTTGTTTGTTTGGTTGGTTGGTTGGGTTGGGGTTTTTTTGTGCTAGTTGGAAATACAGGCTCTCCATTTTAAAATATCTTCTTATTCTGAAAGTTCAAAGCCTAGCTGTCCCCAAAACATTTAAATGAGAAGTGCCCACAGTCATTAGAAAACAATCTTGGTGGTTTTGCACAGGAAAAGTGGGCTAGAAGAAGGGCTGTCTCAGCACTGGTAGTTTCAGGGCACGGGCACAGTGCAGGGAAGGTTGTTTGTAGCAGGCAGGCACACCCATGGGCTGAGCAGCTCTTGCAGTGTCTTTCTACTTGGACTAGGAGCTGCGTGTCTGCAGAGGTTGCCCAGCCCTCTGCTTGCAGTCCAGTTTAATTCTCCAGCTTCTGGAGATGTGATATCTGACACCAGCAGAGTTAAAGGGGATGAATAGGAAATGCCTAGGTGTTGGGGCACAAGCTGACAGCAATTGCAAACAAGATACTCATTTTCTGCTAGTGAGATAACTAAATAGAGTTGCCTAGAGATATGTAACAGGTTCCTCATCTCTTCATGGGTCTGTCCAGTCATTACTTTATCTACCCTGTTGAGGGATACAGAAATGAGCAGGAGCCATCATACATAATCCCAATAGCTCATCATTTTTTTGCCTTCCCATCCCGATATTTTCTTTCACCCCTTCTGAGACTAAATATATGCAGCGGGTGCCTTTAAAATGAAAAGAAGTGTGGGGGTACACCAAGTCTCTTGTGCCAAATGTGAATCTCTACACCAGCCTGCCCAGCTCCTTGCCACTGAGCTGTTACTGCACCCATCTGCACAGCGCCAGAGCCTCTCTCTTATTCTGTGGGCTGTTGTGCTCCACAGCTGGTTCTTCACTGAGGTACTGGTGTGCGGTAGCTGAGGGCTACCGAAATGATTGGGGCTGAAGCATCTGGTGTATGAGAAGATGCTGAGAACTGAGTTTTGTCAGCCTCAACAAGATACATTTCAAGGGGGATCTAGGGAGAAGGTGTAATGGTGAAGCAACATAACTTTTCTTGGAGGAATAAGAGGCAAGGGCCATGGGAAATTGTTACTCACTATATGGAAAAATAATTTCACCATGAGGGCGGTCAAACACCAGGACAGGGCTTCGGGGAGGTTGTGGGATCTCATCCCTGGATATATATGAAACCCCGATAGTCCTGCTCTGAGCATGGGTTTGGACAAGAGACCTTCAGAAATCCTGTCCTAACTTTGTGACTGTGACAAAGCTGGGCAGAGGCCATGATGTTTCTGCAAAGTGCCCCAGTTTCTTCTCCACTGTGTAAGCTCCTGCTTCAGACATGTCTTCCCTGGTGTGACGCACGGAAGTCCCATTATGCACAGAGGAAAAAACTGATTGATGCCTGCTCATATCCCATTAGCATCTTTGCTGATTGCACAGGCATCCAGAGAGGGCTGCTTGGTGGTGCTCGCCTAGATTGTGTGCTGTGTGAAATCCCTGATCTGGAGAGAGGCAGCACACACTGGTTTACTCTCCTCTCTGAGAGCCTCTAGTTGTGCTGATCTTTCCCACGCTCGCTCCCTTAATTCACATCTAGAAAGGCAGCTTGTTCCTCTGGAGAGTTTCCATGTGTGTCCATACAAGCTGCTGCGCTCTGTTGGGTGCAGGGAGGATTTCACCCATGTAAAAAAATGCAGCTCCCAACACCGGGTAGCCCTCAGGTCTGGCAGACTTCTGCACAGACTGCACCCACTGGCATTGCCTGGAGAGAAAGATGGACTTGGGAATAGCCACCTTCTTCACAGGAGAACATTTACATCAAGGTGCAGGATGAACTCCTGGCCTTCTTGAAGTAAAGAGGAACATCACTTGGGGTGGGATTTTTCCTGAAGTACCTTTTCAGTCTCGCTCACTGATGGGGATCATTTATTTCTACAGTAGCAAATTATTTCTTTTACCCCTGGATGGGTGGTTGCAAAGCCCGTGGTACCTGTGCCAATGGGAAGGGCGAGATGCTGCATAGCACCTCCAGGAGAAATAACAACTGCACTTACCAGAATGACATTGGCATGTGGAACTGCTGGCACAGTCTATGGCTTGTTCACTCTGGATTTATATATCACCAGCCACAAACTTGTATCCTCCCGCCACCACTCATCCTGCATATGCAATGCTGTCAGTTCTTTTTGAATATTTAGCTCCTCTGACACCACTTCACTAAATTTAAGCTGACATTACTCAACAGGTGGGCTACAAACTCCAAATGGTTCCCAAAACGCAACCCATGCCAGATAGCCATAACGTGGTGAAATTTTATTGCACCCTAAAGTGAGGAAACTTAGCTCTGTCCATCTTCCATCCTTCCCTGCCAGGTTATTCTCTGTCAGCCTTGTAAAGCTCACTGCAGCACATGCTATAGTCTTCTCACTGTCAGCTTCAGCCCAATTTTCTCTCTTGTGCTTACAACAAACGTTCACCCAAGGAACAAAGTGAGCTGAAGTGTGTAGAGGACACTGAAGAAGGACTGCAGGGCTGTGAGCACCCTCCACCAGACATTTTCCCTTGCCAAGTACAAGAAATAGCAGATTCACTTCTGCTTCTCATGGAGCTACTCAACCGCTTTGCTCTCTCTCCAGATTTCCCCAGTAGTTTTACACCCCGCTCCCCACAAACACTTCTGCTTTTACTCATGTTTATAGCTATTTTAAAGACAATAGTCTGCAGGACCAAAACCCATTTCTCAACCCAGCTATTCCAACCAACCATGTGTGCTATATGTAATACATAGGGAAGTGAAATTATGCGACATCCACAATCTCCTCTAAGCAACAGAAATTGCATTTCAACCTTCAAACAGCACTGGCGTCAGGCTGGGTGACACAAGAGCCCAAACCTATTTATGCATCTGATCTTTCCAGTTATCACCCCTGGCACTTCAGCCAAGTACCACGTTACAAGCTTTACTGCTAAGAAAGCAAGTCTGCAAGCATCTCGCCTCTCCATGATGCCTCTGCCATCACTGAATGAAAAGAAGTTAAAAAAAAGAACCAAACCCAGACCTCTGCCAGAGGGTCACGCTTCAGATTTGCACAATATGCTGATTAAAGTATTTAAGCCTCAGAAAGATATTTCACACCTTAGTCAGCGTTTCTGCTTGAGGCTGACTTACACACTTCTCTCATGCAAGCATGTTTTCAGCGAATGCCATACAGGCCAGAGCCGCACGCTGACAATGCATCTGTCCCAGCGAAGCTGTAGGCTTTGCAGGAACCCCTGTGAAACCCTATGGGTGTGTATGCCTTTCTCACCCTCAGATCTAAGTTGTCACCATGCTACCCAAATAGAAATGTATTTTTGTGGATTTGCAACTACACCCATCTGCTTCTTGCTGGCTGGTGATTCTCAGCAAGACCATAGAGCTGTCCTTGAATACCTCCAAATGAAATGTTGTAGCTGCTGGTGGCACTGCTAACACACACACACACACGCACACACACACATACACAAAAAAAAAAAAAAAAAAAAAAAAAAAAAAAAAAACAATCAGAACTGTGTGGAACCTAGCAGGAGAGATGCAAGTCTTAATAGCACTCTGGGTGATACTCTTAACCAGCCTGGTGCCAAGCTGCTACCACGCAGTCACCAGACTGCTGTGAACACCACTAAATGTGGTTTGGATGATACCCAAAACAAAACTTAGACTTATGGGCAATACACTAACCAGAGATAGGGCCTGGTTTCTAGTCCTACACCCAACTGGTTCCTGTAATTCACTTAGCTTATCTTTCAGAGCAGGGTGGCTCCATTCTTAGGGGATGGTCTCTGGAGTTGTGTGGGATCATGATAGATAGCCATGGTCAAAAGCAGGCCCAGCCCAGCAGACGCAATTACTTTACATCTTAAATATCACTCTTTTATTCAGTCCTGAAGTGGGGAGACATTCTCCCCATTCCACCTCTACAGGTGCTGGAAGCAGCTGACACAATGCCAACCTTCGAAAGTGGGAAGCAAGGTGAAACAGCTAGTGTAACCTAACCTTTAACCTGGGCAAATAAAACTTAAACAGTCAAGGGGGAGAATGTAGCTAATGCCAGTCCACCTGGCTTTATGGAAGAGAAGCTTTAGTTTGGACATCTGATGAGATTGGAATGTTGCTAGAGGGTACTGCATGGGATAGTTGGAGCTCTGATTTGCGCTGCCTGCTGATTTGATTGACACATCCCCCCAGTCCAAAGCAGCACAAGCCCAACAAAGCATTACAATGAGATTTGGGCTGGTCAGCTGTCAGATCTCAAAAGCCAGACATCTGTGGAGGAAGCCTCACCAAACTAGGAATATTGTTTGTAAAAGCTCTGTGGGAACTATGAGATGAAATCCTAAAACTCTTCAGTCTTTTCATCATTGGTCTGAAGGCAGATTAGGAATCAGAGCTGGCAGAGGGAAGTGATAAAAGAGTTAAAGAACCAGACAGTGGTTCAGACAGATCTGAGTAATCTGGGGTTTCTTGGATGATTCATGTTGGCTTTAATGTAGCCAAAGTGACACACTTGGGAGTTAAACAGCACAGACCATGTCTCGAGAGGGGGGTCGCATCCGTTAGGAAACCTGACTGCAGATACAGGCAGACTCTGAAACCCAGCTCCCAGCCAGGTGTTGCTCTAAGAAAAACTGATGCAACCCTCGGGTGTTTAAGAGGTGCTAAATGGGAAGCAACAAAAGAGGGAAGACTTTATCATTGCAGAGCTTGACTGAGGCTGTAGTCATACTTTGATAATACTTGATTTCACTTTTGCTCATGTTAATAATTTTGCTAATGTAGTGGGATTAGCCATACCATAAACTGATGCATGGAAATTCAAACCAGAAACATGCAAGCTAGAAATCAGATACACATTTTTTAATGGTGAAAGGCTAATGATTGGTACAGACTTCAAGTAGGAAAATAAGATTTTTGCATGTCTGATGGTCTCCACATCAAGAGAAGATATCAGTCTGGGAAATGGTTTTAGGCCTGACACTGGAGAAGCTCAATGGGGGGTACGGGGTAAAAACCTACAACCCCTGCTAGGCAGGGAGGCAGAGCAAATGGGCTGTTGGGACACACTCATCTTAACAACCATGACTGTTTTGGTAATAAGTGAATGAAAAATCCAAACTGTCCTCTCCCCAAGTACTTCACCAGCACTAACTAGGCCAAATCCTGGGATGGGACCCCCTGGAAGGAAGTGGGCTCCTGTGAAGAGCACGGAGCAGCTGCTGGGGTTGTGTTAGAGGGGAGGCTATATGACGGCTGTGGAAAGAAAGCAGCACAATATGGGGATGGGGATGTTGTTATCAAACAGCACTCTGTACTGCCTCTGTTAAACCCTGCATGGTTTCCCTACTTCTAACGAGTTCTTTTATCATTCCTTCATTGCTTCTGAGTGGGTGTGGTGTAATCCCAGGTGCATCCTTGCTCCCTGCTCCCCCAGTCCCTCCCTGATGGCTTTTAGGTGAGGAAATCCCTTTATTTGGTGCTTCTTCTTTCTTCCATGATTTATTCTTAGATAAGCAGGACCATTTCTGTAACCCAGCAGAGTTCTGCAAATTTAATAATTGCTTGTCAATTTGGGTGATTTAATTTATGGAGGCTCCCCCCAAGACTTTGAGGGTAAGTTTTTTTAAAGGCAAGTAGTGATGTGGGCTGATTCATTATTGGATTTTCCAGTTCAAGGTGGAATTCAAGGTGCAGAAGCATGATGCTGAGGCTTTCTGAAAATTAGGGCATTTAAGGTGTCCTAAATAAAGGACCCAGAAATGGAAGCCAACCAAACCATTGCCGATTAAGATAAAAATAAACATGAATATTGCAGAGGCCTGTGGTCCCTTTACAAAGGAATTTAGGTCAGAGATTAAAAAAATGCCACTTCCCTGAACCAGTTGTAGGGTTTTTACACCAATGTCACAACTTAAATTTGAAGTAGACAAGAAGCTCGTAAGCTGGAGATGAGCAGCACGTAAATCTACACACTTAAACCAATAGCTTTGGTTAAAAAAAAAAACCCAACATTTAAAAAGATCGGGCTTGGATCATGGAGGGCAGGAGGGGATAGCATGGAGTCCAAACTCCCCAGGATCTCTCTCACCTTCACCTAAGGTTTTACAGCATTGGAAAGTTCTTTCTCAAAGATGCTCCATGTTAACCTGGAGATAACTTGCAGGGCATCAAGTAACCAGGGCACCAAGTTTCAGCTTAACCCATCATATCAAAACTAGGTGTACTCTGATTTATAAAGAAAACAGAAAACCAGGGACTTATTACTGTCTTTGCTGGCAGCAAGGGCTTCACCACCTGTGCTTCAGAGCTACCACAGAGATATTATTTTGAACAAGATCTTGCTCTTGCTCTGTCAGTGCATGGTCCAGCCGGCTAACCCAGTGGACTCACTCAGGTCGGTTGTGCTCTTGTGACACCAAAGCAGGCACAGGGGACTGAATCCTGATGCCCTGGGTGAATGCTGTCCCCAGCAACATCCCTCTACTTGCTGGTTTTGTCTCCCTGCCAGGCAGACTTGCTGTAAGCCATCTGGGGAGGACAGCAGCACAGCCGCAGTGTGTGTGGTTTGCTGGGGCCATGTCAGATCCCACCAAACCACTGGCAGCTCACCCTGGTGGGTGTTCATATATTTATAGCAGAAGCTATAAGCTGAAGCTTTCGGTGGTTTCAGCTCCTCTGATTGACTCTAGGGAGGGCAAAGCCCCTCTGGGGCTGACAGGGTAGCCATGCAGGAGACTTGGTGCCTGCACACTGGGGGTCCCTTAATGGAGCTTCTAAATGGAGCAGGGAATAGGCTCAGCTTTCAGGGCATGACCAAGGCTCTTGAGTGAGTGAAGATGCAGATAGTCACATGTCATGACAAGGCATTTTCCTGGGGTGCCATTGTTGATTCAAATCAGTCTTCTGAAAGGGATCTAAGTAGTGGGGGACTTCCTGACAGGCATTGGTCTGAACCTCTGGAAGTCAAAGCACCTTTAGAAATCTGGCCCTAAGGGGGTCAGAGCCTTAAGTATCCATTTCAGAAACGACTTATGCATTTAGGAAACATGACCCAGCTGTATGATTCAGACTCCTGTGTCTCCCCTGAATCTTAACATCACGGTTCAAAAATCACTGAAATGATTCTGAAATTTTTATCTGTGACTCTCAGGGTCATGACTTGTGGTCTTGATCCTGTGACCAGATCCAAGGGTCCTCTTCAGAGCCTCTGCAGCCTGAGATGGTTTCCAGGCAGTGTCTTTCCCCCAGGGACTGGCCAGAGGGTGGGAAATTACATAAATGGTCTGAGAATTGTGTTGAAGAGCAGTATTTTTTTTTTTTGTCCCCGCAGAGGCTGGGGAACACTAACGCAGCTGCCGGGGGCAGGGGGGGCAGGGAGCAGTGACAGAGCTGGGGAGGGACCAGATGCTCTCCCAGGAGCTGCCTGCGGGGCACTAGATATTTTGGGTTGTCATCTGACTGGATGGTGATTGCCAGGATCAGGATTTTCTTGGAAAATTTTTTTCATAGGTATTTCCTACAGCCTGTTAGCCCTTTCTGCTTGCATGTTTTCACATGACACTCTCTATGTTGTTTTACAAGTATAGCTGAGCATTTTGCCTGTGTTTTCTCTTACCTGCTCTTCCTCAGTATTTCTTTTTCCCAGGCCTTCCCTTCTTAAGCAGTGTTCAAATTTCTTTTATATTTTCTGTCGAAGGGACAATGAAAACAGATGATTGTTTGTAGCTATGTGCACCGGTTGTACTTTCTTATGGTTATCATTCACTCTCTCCTCTCACCACATTTATTGTGGCACCCATTTACGACCTGCCCCTCCTTTTATTATTAATAAGCTCACACTGCCTCAGCATCCTTGAGGAATCTGAGAAGGCTCTCTATAAATGGGAGATCCCTTAACTCATCTTTTGCATCATTTTAAGAGCTTTTCCATCATTTTAAGAGAGCAACACACATTAGCCCTTCTTGGCTGTCACTGGATGAGATTTAAGTTCTGGAGTTGCCAGCCCCTTCCTGGGAAATTACTATGTGATTTGCTCTCAATTTTCTATGTATTCTTCATCAAGCTTTAGCTTTTTCCTCTCCTTTTTGGACTTTTTCTGCACTGCCCAAACCCTCATAATTCATTGCAGTTTCTGTCTTTTATCCTGTCACCCAGTTCACTGCCTCTGGCTGTGCTGTCTCCATGCAGAGTTTTCCCCAGCAGACCAGCTGTTTGGGAACTGTTGTTTCTGGATGTATATTTATATCACACACACAAGTACTTAATGGGCTGCTGCCACTGTATTACCCAAATGTCTCACCCAAACCAGCAGATGCCTTTGTACAACAACCTTCCTATGGAAAGCTGAGTCGCAGAGAAATTAAGTAATGTTCATGCAGATGCAAGATGCAGATTAATTACAGAATTAATGTAATTAAGAAATTAAGTAATTTTCATGCGGAAAGTTGGATTTTCAAGTTTTTATTAATTTCTGCCATTCTCTTGCTGGTCTGTCTGCATCAGACACTATCATCTCTACCAGGCTTTCTGTACTGGGCTGTCTTTCAGCATCAGTGATGTTTGGTTCACTGACCAGAACTAAAATCAAACAATGCTGGTGAGTTGAGAAAACTCTGCAGACATCTAACAAAAAACAACTAATGAAGTAGAAGTGCTGTATCTTCTTGGTCTGTCCTTCTGGCCTAATGCTGCACACTAGTCATCTATCAGCATTTTGTTTTAACCTTGAGGATTTCTAGCCAGGGTGAATATTTCTCTTATGATAAGGTGCCACAAATTAGTCACCAACTAGAATTTCTCTGCCCTGATTCACTTCAATTAATAAGTGTTCCCCTTTCCACTTTCACAATTTATAAACATTACCCACATCATCTTCACCCAAATTAAGTATCATTTAGATTCCAAGCACTAAGCAGTAAAGAGTTTCCTTAAGTTCATGAGACACCATTTCTTGTCATCCCACTCTGTCCAATTATAGATAAAATATAATTGTCTCTTACCTTAATTCATAGCTGCATTGAAAACCAATGTTTTCTTCAAGCCAAGCCTGTTTGAGTTTAAATATATATTTCCTCTTCTCTAGTGCTCATGCCTACCCTATGAAACGTGAACTCTGGTAGGGCAGCTTCCTGGGCTGAGCTTTGGGGCTGAGCTGACAAAGTATTAATGTGCTCTGCTCTGGTCCTGCTGGCACCTTGTGAAACTGTGAAGCAGAATCTGGCCACTCAGAGGGGCTGAAGGGCTTATAGAGGACAGGACTTGCAGAGGAGACAGAAATGCCTGAGGAGCTTCATTGTCAGTGTGTAAAAGCCCTCATCACCTTGGTTTTCCCTACCCTGTGCAGAATGGGATATTTTTGACTCAGACACAATGGTACAATGTATAGAAATACAAGTCTGGTATGATAGCAGGATCCTTGAGCACTGGGGAAGCAGGATGCAGCATAGAGGAGTGCAGGTACGCGATGATAAAAGCTAGGGCACAGGCTGGCACTGGGACCCCCACAGCTATACACAACTCACTGATGGTCTGTTAAAAAAAATGCAGACCTGGAGCTGGCAAAACTGGGTTTAGTGGTAACAGACAGAACAAAACCAGCATCTACCATACCTAAGAGGCAGTGTACATAGTGAATGGGGTGCAACATGAGGTTGCAGACCCATGAAGACAGACAGTACAGTGACATGTTAGGAAACACATAAAAGCAATCCCAAGCAGATCCTAGAGGGATGCAGAAAAAAACTCCATCAGCATGAACATCACATTCATTGCAGGGAATGGCTGGAGATGCTGACAGCTCGTTTTAACATCAAACACCACCACCACCTGGGTAAAACCACAGGCCTTAGGACCAAGAGGAGCAGGGGAAAGGTGAGTGTATCACCAGGAGAAGGACTAGAAACTATATGTATGCAAAACAAGCTTGATGGCATTGGTATTCTTTCTTTTTCTGTGACCAGCAGATCTAGACTGATAATGATTGGAGCCTTGAGATTGCCATTACACTAACAATAAATTCTTGGCTTTACCTATACATACATTGTGCCTCCTTTTCAAGCATAACATCTCTCTGCAGCCCAGGCCTTCCACTGGACTGGAGGAATCTGAGAGTTTAAAGCACTGGTATGTTTATTAATCGAGGAGCCTTCTTGGCACCTGACATGAGCATCATGCTCAGGGTTGCGTTACAGGTGCACCCACAACTGGGATGCCACGTAGCACATTTCCAGGCACTGCTGGGGCACACAAAGCATTTTATCTGGGGTGAAACCAGGCAGGAGGCTGTGCAGTGGGGTGCATTATTTTGGGTCTGAGACACCATGTGCAGTTGGGGGCTGTAACAATACCAAGGTCCTCTGGCACATGCAGGAATAAAGTCCTGAAAACACCTCCAGGTACTATCCCTGCTTCAGATGCCAAGATGCCAAGGGAGGTAAAAATGCTTTCTCCCCGAAGGCAGAGTTGTACCACCTCTGTACAGGCTGAGCTGAATGGGGTTTGTGGGGTGGAGAGTAACTTCCAGGTTGTCTGAGCTATTGCCCATTGATCGGTGTAGCAAGTTCCCAGTTAAATATTCTTGCATAAGTTTAGTTCTGGTATTTCTGCCAATTACATGTTTTTTCATGATGTTATGCTTTTTCTAGCAAAGGTTACATCCCCAACAGCTCAACAGCAATATACCAAAGGTCAAGCTTTGGGCCTCCAACATCAGCCAAATTATGCAAGTGATGTCAGTGGCGTGGGCCAGGGCAAACACCCATGGAAATAACATAATCAGAGAACCAATACCTGGTTAGGTGTTAGCCAGGAACAGCAAAGATACACTGCTGAAAATAAGGTTTAAAGGTTAGGGAATAGTAAAGGGCCAGAGCAGCAGATGTTCAAAACTCACCTTTTTTTCCTGTTTCTCTGACAAGTGTGAGCATCCCCGTCTGCCCCTTCTTTAAAAATAGATGTAAAGAGTTCTGCACTTTTTTCAGGAAAGTATCAAAAGGCTGATGGCCACTTTCTCCCCACACACTGAAAGCAGGATCTATGACTTCCAAAATGATGTACTTTCAACTTTCAGAAAGATAATTTCTGGTATATGGTACAAAGGAAACATTCTCGTTGTGTGAGAACAGTAAGATTTAGAAAGGCAAATGAAGGCTGCCTCCATGCCAGTGATAGTCTGACGTTATCCTTGCAGCGCTACCATGGCCATGGGTCCTGCTGAAAGTGTGCTGTGCTTCAGAGGACACCCAAATCTAAACCTGTCTCCCATGTCCTCACAGGGATGATGAAGGGCTGCATCCTCCCCTGCTCCTGCCTCTGGCAGTCCTATAAATAAGGTATGGGTAATCCAGTAGGAGTTTCCCCTCTGGGGACCTGCACACGCTGAGCTGGTTTGCTGCTGACCTGTAAAACGTGGGTTCCCGGAGCACATGCAGCCATGGCCACCCTTGTGCTGCTGGGCATCCACTCCTGGGTCACCAATACTCAGCACTGCAGCTCTGGTGTTGCTCTCTGCAGTCAAAAACCTTGCAAACAAGGGTCAGCACTCCCTGTGTAACAGCAGGAGAGACAGTCCCCAGCCGCTGCTTGCCTCTGGGTAGAAAGGTCCTCCTTACAGCTAGGTTTCCCTGAAGGCAGTCGTCAACGCCTCCCCTCCCGTGCTGCCCAGAATTCAGCCCAAACAGAACACAGAGAAGGCAATTATTCTCATGAAGAAATGAGGTTTGCTGAAAGGAGTACCCACGCAGTTTTTAACTGGAGGACCTCAAATAAAGAGAAACCAAGTCAGGCTGACTCACAGATTTCCTCCACAGATCTCCCTGGGAGACAAAAGAGACTTTCTGTTGTATTCTGTTGTTAGTGACAACGCTAAATAAGAGCGCTGCTCCTTATCATGGTGTCAGCTTGTAGTGCAACATGAATAGTTCTGAAATTAACACCTCCTGAAAGACAACTGCAACATCAAGAAATATCTCTGCTCTCCATCTTCCACCTCTGTTCAACATCTGGTATTAAAGACACAGCTCAGGGAAAAGAAAGACTGAGGAAGATACTGAAAAGACTTTCTTTCTGGTCCATTCGCAACAGGGAAAAGCATCTTTTGTTTCTCCGGGCTAAAATGAAAGAGGCATTGCATCCCTTAAAACCAAAGAGACTTTTTCTAGGAAGGGCTAGGTAGAGTCTGCTGCCTCCCCAGCTGTGAGGCACAGGAGAGTTTCAGAGGAGGAAATCAAGAGCAAAGGATGTGCTATTCAGGGATACAGTGGGTAAAGAGGGGACAAACTCTTTTTTTTTTTTTTTTTTATTCCACCTCCCTCTGAATTTGAAAACACTTCTCAACATCTGGGGAGACCAGCAGTACTTCCACACCAGCAGCATCTCCTCCTGCTCTGTGGCCAGGCTGCCAGGTCAACCTGAGGAGACAGGCTTTTGCACAGCAGCACTGGCAAGTTCAAGCTTTGTGGACTAAAGCATTTGATAAAGAAATGTCTGGCCTCAAGGATCGAAACGCAGTTCTCTCCAGCACACCCTGCTTTTGCTGCCATGTGGGAAAGCCTGAGGGTGGTGGTTGTCTACAGAAAGGGCCTCTCTTGGCTCTTGAGAGTTTTATTGGAGTCCCCTCTGCAGAGCCGAAGGGCACCAGTAACTGCCTGGGGGTACCAGAGGGAACTGGAGGAACCTCATATCTCCCAGTGCTGTGACACCAGGGCTTCCCTCTGTGCATTTCAGAGACCTGCCAGAGTTGCCAAGCTCTTTCTTTTTGTTTCATTTATTGCTTTGCTTAAGCGGAAAACAGTTACAGCTGAGACCATGGCAGAGCTGGGACGAATAAGTGGAGGTAGAACATGGTTTTGGAGATGTAGCAGAAATGGCCCTTGAGGTTTTAATTCCTTGTAGACAGGGAGAAAAAGGGCTAGTATGGAGAATAGCCTATGGAGATGCTACTTTGTAAATGAACAGGGGAAAAAGGTCCATACAAACTTGCAAGCCTCCATACATTGACAACAAAAGAGCAGATACAGTCCTGTTTTGACTTTCTCTGCTATGCAGAGCACCTGCTGGGATGTTTTGGTTTTACAACTAACTTTGCAAACCATGGCTGTTTGCATCATGTTTGGCTTCTGCTTTGAAGACACAATGAAAGCTTATCTAAACGATTGTTCCAAGAAGCAGACTTCAACCCTGGAAAGCTTACAAGCCTGAATGGTGCATTTGAAATGCTCCCAAAGCGTGCTGAGCTTGGGAGGAAGCCATCTATTCTCTTCCCTGGGGCCTCCAGCCATGGATGAACAGTGATGACACCATGTCACTGGGTGCATCTTCAACAGACATCTGCACTGTGTCCCCAAGCAAAGCAACAGCAGCACCCAGATGGTTCATGTCCCAGGAAAGCTCTTCCAACCTGAAGCCCTGCCAGGTTCTTCTGCATTTGTTTCAAGCAGAGGGACAGGAGCAAAACCCAGGCAGCTGTGACCTTCACCGCACTGTCAGTAGTGTGCTGTGGAGCCAAGCGCTGAATTGTTCAGGATGCATTCTTTGGAAATCCTCATTAAGGCTGGGCAGTGGGCAGGGGTGGAGCCCCTGGGTCCCACTGGAGCTCTGCTATGCACATCTGCCGTGCACAGCTCAGCAGCACAACACACACCAGAGCCAGGACTGCACTGAACCCTGCTGGACATTTTTTTCCCCCTTCTCCTAATTTCTCCTCCAAACTTCTCCTCTTGTCTTTTCTGTCAGCTGGGTGGAGGCATTTCTGGAGGAACCCCCCTCCTGCAGCAATGTCCCATTCCTCCCGTGCTCTCCTGCAGCAGAGCTGCTGCCTGCCTAGAGCTCACCCAGCAGCTTTTGGTGTAGGTACAAACACCAGCTGTTCACATACACGCACAATACTGCGCAGAAGTAATTTCCATGCATCGCTTCTGCAAGAAAACCCAGCAGAGGGAGTGTCATCCCTTCATGTCAGTGTCCTGGAGAGATGCAAGGAGACAACCTAGCTCTGGTGGCTTTCCAGCCCCAGTGGGAGATGCATTTATTCTTCATTAAAAAGGTGGGGAGGCAAAAATTAACAGAGAGAGAGAGACAGAGAGAGAGATTAAAATGTTTCAGCCCGAGGGCTGGTAAAGGGAAGGGCCATAGAAAACTGGAGGCTTGCACGCTTTCTGTGTTCCTGAGCTGTTTGTTAGGCT